GGGCGGCGGGGGAGTGCGGGGAGGCGCATGGCGGGAAAGGAGGACGGGCGGGGAGGCATGACGAGGGAGAAGGCAGGAGTAGGATGACGAGGGCGACAAGGGTGTTATACACCCTGCGAAATGCTTAAGAAATCATGGGTTAAGAAATTCATCGTCTCAGAACTTGAATTAAAACCCAACATTTCCGTTAAAATCATAGGATTCACATTGAAACATTAAGAATAATCGAGACTTTGGCCGAAAACTTGAGTTTTCTTAAGCATCGCCTAAGGTGTATATATATATATATATATGAAGATGATGGTTGGGAGTGGATGAGGAGCCGAAGGAGCCTAGGAGAGGAAGGAAGGGATGATGGGGGTACTGTAGGGTGTGAGGGTGATCAGGGAGGCGACGAGACGACAACAACGACGACCGCAGTCAAAATCGGCCACAGGGGGAGAAGAATTGAAGGTCAGCAGCTTGTCTAATGGGTTAGATCAACAAGTGGAAGTCTACTCCACTTGGTTGCCCAAGCAGTCTCCCCGCAGGGGGAGATGAGATGTGTCAGTCAGCAACTTGTTGATGTCATGTTGTACAATCCCGACGACCTTTCTGCAGGCCGACGTCAACATATGGGCACGTTGTGGTCGTGAGTCGTCTTGACTTCCCGTAATCCAATCAGGTTTTGAGGGCACACAAGGGGCGGATAACTATTCAGAACCCCTCTGGACGGGAATGCATGTCAGCAATACTTTGACGAAGCTGATCGTGTCGAGAAAATTCGGCCCAGTCGTGTCGGAAGGAGGGCATCAGCGCCCCGCAGTGTTTGCAAGGAAAGCCTGTACGTCTCCTCGTCTCGCCGATGACCGCGCCACTGCGGAAGATGGAGGGCGGGGTCTTGTTGTTTTCATTGAGATTGGCCGCCCAGCGAGTGAAGGTCTTGCTCGAGAGGAGCTCCACGTCGTCATCGTCGATCTCCTCCGCGTCGTGACGAGAGCGAGCCGCTTCTTGAAGGCAGCGCACTCTGGCAGTAACACGTGTGGCATGATGGGCACGATTGGAGTTCGAAGCGAACCACCTGTCGTCTCCGACCAAGTGATCCACCTCTCATCCCTGACTCTGACATCATCAGCTGGGCTACGGTAGGTTCGCGTCGTGTCGACCGGCGGCGACCCCGCCGCGGACGTTCAAGGTTGAACGCCGCCGGTGGCGCAGAATCGGCTTACATGGAACGATCGGGCGATGAAAAGCTGCCGATCGTTCCAGGTTGAACGATCCACGCGGTGTCAGGAACCAACGCTGGGGTCGTCACGACGCGAACCTGCGGTACGCAAGAAAAGGATCGTTTGCGCCGACATTGGCGCGTAATCTGCCCGCGTAAGGTCGCGCGTGAGCGCCCTCGTCTCCAATGTGGCGTGCCGCGTGGGAAGCCCCGCGTAGGCTGCGGCGGGAGGGTGCTATGCCATCTCGCATAAGGCCCGTTTCTGATCGTCGTCCAGCGAACCGCTAGTCGTCTCCCACAAAGTGTTTCACCGCATCCCTTGGGGCATCGCTCGGATGTGTGCGTTCTATTCGGCGAGGACCAATTGAGGAGGACCCTGGATTATCCCGGGGAGAAAAATAGCAAAACACTCATGACACCGACAAGTGCAGCGACTGGAAGATAATTGACTCGGAAACCATCCGCTGGATCAACGATCACAACGTTCAGCGATAACAACGATTATGACGATAACGATCGCAACGATCACAACGATCACATCGTCCGCAACGATCACCACGGTCACGATCGCAGCGACAACGATCACACCGATAACGACAACAACGACAACGCCGGTCGCAGCGATCGCAACACTCACAACGAGGTCGACAACGATAGCAACGACCACAGCGACGTCTCCCAGATGGCGCCCCGGGAGGCGGAGGTGCGCGCAGGATGCCCTCCGAGGGCGGAGGCACTGGCACCTCTCGGCTCGGGACGTGCGCCGGCCGCCGGCCCGGCCCTGCTCGGCCCACCAGCTCGGGCCCCGCTCGGCCGCGGGCACGTCTTTTCTGGGCGAGGGTTATGTCGGGCCTGTCCCCCTACAGGGGGATTTTCGACGAAAAACAAAAATACCTCAAACATACCCCAAAAAGGTCAAACAATACCCCAAAAGATAGTCCCCAGACCATTTTGGGGTTATTTTTTTATCATCTTGGGGGTATTTTTCATTCTTGGTCGAAAATCCCCTTGTAAGGGGTCAGGCCGACTTAAGGCGAGGGCCATCGAGGAGCAGACGGGGCCATCTCGCGACAAAAGGTGCGCACGCAGTGGAAGAGCACGTGCACGGGGCATGGCCGCCCGAGCACTGGCGAGCCAGCGCCTCCGACGTGCAGCGCCCTGGGGGCTCTGCATCCTCAGATGCCCTCCTCGGCGTCTGGCTCTGGCGGCACGGCGGCGACGACCACGACTCGGTGTGCGACTCTGGGGAGGTTGAGTTCGGCATCTGCGCTAGCATGTCTGGGATATCCGTGGTCGAATCCGTCCTGATCCTGCACGGACCTGGCAATTCCCTTGCAGTTCCGCTCAATCTGGTCTAATCTGGCTTACTTCCAGGCTCTGCGGCCCCTCAAGCGGGCTCAACAGCCCTTATAACCGATCCTACGCAAACCCCCCAGGAAGCGCTTCCCAGCACGACGACGGCGAGAGCGAGGTCGACGACGGCGACGTCGGCGGCGACAACGGCGAGGACGGCGACAATGGCGAGGGCGACGACAGCGACGGCCCGCGCGAGGAGCCCTGGCTGGCGGGGTCGCCGGACGGCGTGTGCTGGGAGGGCGGCGAGCCCGCCGGGCTGCTGGAGGTCAAGACGGCACGCCGCTGGCAGGGCGACCGCTCCCAGCCGGTGCTGTCTCTGCTGCCACCGCGCTTGGCGCCGCGCTGCTGCCGCGCCTCTCCCCGTGCCTTTTGCTGCCGCGCGCGCGCTGCCCGACCCGCCGAGCTGGCCGCGGGCCGTGGAGGTGTGCCCGGAGGGGGGCCAAGGGCCGACCCGCCACGCGTGGCTCGGAGGTGTGCCCGGCACGGGGCAGAGAGGGAGTTCCCTCGGCCCGCGTTTCCGCCTCCGGGAGCGGCGCTTGGCCTCCTCCAGGCCAGGAGCTGGTGGGCCCAAGAGGGGGCCCCAGCGCAAAGGGGGTGGTGCAATAGATTTGGTGCCGCAGATTCTTGGGGTTGCAAGAGGCTTGGGGTGTGCAACGCATGCCAGTGCGCAGATGCACTGCTGGATTTTCGCGTGCAACGCATTGGTTGCGATACAATGCCGTACCATTCTGCGGCGCAATACAGTTGCAATCCATGTTGCCCAAATCTTCTGTACCACCTCCTCTCAGCTGGACCCTCTGTTTGGTCGACCAAACAGGAGGAGACTGAGGAGGCAGTCGGCCAGACCATGCCGCGCCCCCCCCAGGCAAGTTCGACGCCGACCTGCCGGTCGAGTGGACCTACCAGGACGGGCTGCGCACGAAACGGGGCGGCAAGTCTTTTTTCTCCGGGGAAGCGTAAGACTCGATTTCGCCGGGACTCGCGTTTGCGACGCTTTGTGAAGAGCGCGTCCTGGATTTTGACGCTCCAGTTTTCGTGGGATGTTTGCAGCGGGAGCTCGCGTCACATTCCAGATGGGGACTCGTCATTTTCAGAAGAATGGCCCCGTCAGACCAACCCGAGTCTCCGAGCCTGAGTCTTACGTCTCCCCGATTTTTTCGTCCTGTCTTCCTCTCCCGTCCCCTCCTCCGCCTCCGCCCTCACCCAAATAACAGAACTGCATAGCCACAGATTCCTGGAGCGCCGCGCAGATCTCTTGGGTTGGCGGCCAGGCCCGCTGCAGGGAAAGAGGCCCAGCGCCGATCCAAAGACAACTGTGCGGAGTTTGTGAAGTGTATGTGTGTAGTTAGTTGTTTCTTATTCTACGCATTCTTCATCAAGTCCAAGGATGGGCCGATCACGATGCATCTTCGGGGGACCTCGCCTGTCACCAAAATTGGTGTCTTTGTTTGTACCCGGCGTGGCGTGGATTCGTCGCGGTGTCGACACAGATTCGACACGAATCCGACAAGGCCGACATTCGACGCGGCTAGGGCCGCGACGGGACGGACAAGGTTCGGGCAATATAACATCCATATCCAGGGCGTCTTGGATTCTCGTGGAAGGGGCGCCGCAAGGCCGAGGCGCACCGAATATGGATAAGATTCGAGCCTCTAGTAGGGGCCAGATTTTTACCCATATCCAGTGCTCTTCGGTTTTCTGGGGAAGGGAGCCCGAAACCCCAAGCTGCAGTGGATATGGACACAAGTTTTGCCCGCAGCTCTCTGCAGCGGTCGTCATCAGCGGAGGGCGGCGCGGCTGCTTCTACAGTCAAGACGTTGAAGCAGGGTCCACCAGAAGGGGCCGGTCTGCGGGTCAATCCTCGGGTCGAAGTCGGCTCTGGCGGGCGTCGTGCCCTGCAGCGGTTGTCACCGGCGGAGGGCGGCGCGGCTGCTTCTACAGTCAAGATGCTAAAACAATTCTGTTAACTACGTTGCATCTTCGGGGGGGCCTCGCCTGTCCCCAGACTTGGTGTCTTTGCTTGTGCCCCACGCGGGCTCGATGCGGACTCGACGCGGATTTGGCGAGGATTCGACGCGGAGTCGACACGGATTCGACACGGATTCGACGAGTCCAACATGGATTCGACGCGGAGTCGACGCGGACAGGGTCGCGACGGGACAGTCCAGGCCCCCCCCAGGCTGCAGCATAAATTCGGCATCGCTCGGACAAGTGCATTTTTGCTCGGCGGGGACCATCCAGGAATATCCTGGAGCATCTCGCGACAGGGGAATGGACGTCCGAGCGATGGCGAGACAAGGTGCACCAGAGGGGGCTGTTTTCCGGGCCAGTCCTCAGGCCAAGGTCGGCAAATGTGTCGGCAGCTGATGGCCTCGCCGTGGCCAGGCGTGTTCCTTCGTTCTCTGCTCGGCGTACCTCGTGCTAGCACGAAGAGTGTGCAGTCGAAGCACCAGGATCATCGGCAGTGTCTCGGAGCTGCTTCCCTCCTCAATCCAGGCCCCACTGAGGCCCAGAAGTGGTGTCGCCCCTGGCTTCGGTTACTTTGTGGCAAGACTGTGGCTGAAAGAGGTATTTCGGAGAGCTCACGAACTGGGAGAGCGCTGGCCCTCATACATGCCGGGTTGCCAGCAAACCTCTCCTCCAGAGTTGGGCGCTGCGGAGGTAGAAGCGCCTTTGCTGGCGTTTCTGTGCAGATTGCCCCTGTCGGTTGAGGCAGCCGCCGCAGCGGCCGTGGCGGCAGCGTGTTCGATCAGGCGCGCCAGCGGTGGGTGGTCTCCGAGAGCACACCTGACCAGTTCACACGACTGACACGGCCTGCTTGTGGCGCACCCGACCAGGCCATCTTCGAGGGCGACGCCCAGGCCTCCTTCTCATCCAATCTTCTCGCTCCTGGCCCACTGCGAATGCGCATGTCATGCCTGGCGCGAATTGTAGTTTCTGTTCGCAGCGTCGATCCATGCGCATATTTGAGCCTTGTTCTCCGCTGTCTGCTGCTGGCCAGAGTCGCCAGGATCAGTCTCCCTGCAGCAAGGCCCACCGGATGGCTAGCGTGTGTCTGTGTCTGTGAGTGTGCGGGTGTGTGTGTGTGCGTGTATGGGAGAGATATAAACGGGCGCGAATGGCGGATGATGAGGTTTTTGAGTCTGCTCGCAGCACCGTGGCTTCCCTCTCCCTGTTCCGCCGCGCTGGCAGGTGCAGGGCTGCATGCGGATCGCCTCGGCAGCGCTCGGCGTGGATCTGAGCTGGTGCGGACTGCCTTGCACTCTAATCGAGCCTTTGCACAGCCCCTCTTGGCCTGCTCGCCATCCTGGGTGGTCTTGATCGAATTCTGGAACATGCTCGATGGAAGCCACGCCTGCCTTGCGCGAGCGGGCTCTCACAGCACACTTGCATGCGACTGCAAGTCCGAAGCAATCGTTTCCCGGTTGGTTGACCTTTCGGCAGCAGGATTACCTCCTGCTGCAGGTGTTGCTTTCTTCCAACATGGCTCTTGGCAACACGCACCGCTGCCTTCGTTGCCAACGGTACTCTGCACCTTCTGCAGCCAGTATCCTAATGCCGCCCATGCGTTGCCGCCCATCTCTTCCTGATTCTCCCTCTCACTCTTGTTGTCACGCCAATTCCCGTCCGCGTTTCAGGGGCTGGCGGCACCGGGCATGTTCTCCAGAGCGGGTCGTCTGGAATCCCTTGGGGATCGGACCGTCATTCATGACGCAGAGCGGGAGGTGTGGTGGCAGGTGCTCCCTGGTACAGCTGGCACGAGGGTTAATCGGCGTCGCGCGAACATATTGATACTATGGGTGCGACGCCCCCCCCAGGGGCGACGCGCGCACCGAGAGATCTTATAGTATATGCGTCATGGCGGGCGTTTTCTGGCCACGCCGCTCGGAAAACGATATACTACAATATGGATGCACTACATGTTACGATCGGACGCGCGCCTCAAGGTTGGAAATAGAGTACCCGTGTGTCCGTGTGCGTCCCAGTTGAGAGCAACCATAACTTTCGAAGGGTGCTCCTCATGTTTGTCGTGCTCGTGTTCTCCACACTGGAATGCCCCTTCGTTTTGGGCATCTCCATGCGTCCCTGGACCGTCGGCGAGGGGACTCCTGCTTTCGCCCCACGTCCTTCTGGCCAGGGCTGGAACTAAAAGCTGTTTTGCCTGATTTGGGCTGTGTTTTGTTTTTCTCTAGTGAGGTGCAGGAAAACAGATAGAGCAAAACGAACAACAAAACGAAAACTAACGTTTAGGTCCAGCCCTGCTTGTGGCCATGGCCCGGCTTTATATTCGTGCCGCGCTCCGCATTGGAGAGGTGCGACCTGTTCCTGTGGACGCCCGGCCGCTCCGAGCGGCGGCGCGTGTCGTTCGACGCCCAGCTCTGGGAGGAGGCCGGTCTGATTTTGGTACCGCTTCGCTCGGTAGCAATCATGGGAGTTTGATCTACCCTTTGAATTTTGCCTTTAGTGTCGACTAGCGTCGATTAGCATCTATGAGTCGATGAGAGATCGCCGATTTAGCGTCGATTAGCATCGATGTATCGTCGATTAACGTCGATTTAGCGTCGAGCAGCGTCGGCCTCCATGAGCTGCCACCGACGCTTCGTGCGCATCTACGCGCGAAGTTGGACTATCGACGGTAGCTGCGTTCCACGCGGGAATTTGATCGTGGCAGTATCATGTTCTGCGTGTGGCCAGAAATCTGAGACATCGGATATGGGTCGATGTTCGTCTGTTGTGCACGAGAAATGGTGGATCGTATATTAGTGGACGTGGCGAGTCTCGTTTCTGCATCTGTGCGATTGCATGTAGCATGTTGTTTCAGAAGTAAAACTCGTTGGAGGTTTGGAATGGGTACGCTTCGTAGTTCCGCGTCCCCCGATCCCTCTCTAGAATCCAATTGCCTGCGGCAAGTCCCGCCACCGTGCCAGCCCAGTAGTCTGGGTGGCGATTGATCGAGGGGGCACGGGAGGCCATCACGTGTGACACTTCGTGTCTCTTTCGGGTTGGGAGAGCCGTGATGAGCATCATGAGGATTACGATGATGATGGTGGTGATGACGATTATGTTGCTGCTGCTGTTGATGCTACCGCTGCGGCTGATGCTGATGATGATGATGACGACGACGATGATGATCATCATCATCAACATGAACATGGTGATGACGATGATGTTGCTAATGATGACGATGATGATGATGATGATGATGATGATGATGCTGATGATGGCGATGATGATAATGGTGGTCATGCTGGTGGCTGCGATGAGGATACTGCGATGGCTGTGACGATGATAATGATGCTGATGCGGATGGTGCTGGTAAATATAATAAGAATGATGATGCTGATGGTGAGTATGATGATTATGATGCTGGTGATGGTGGTGATGATGCTGATGCTGCTGTTGTTGATGCTGATGCTGCTGATGCTGATGATGAAACTGGTGATGCTTATGATGAAGTTGGTGATGATTATGATGATGAGCAGGAGGAGGAAGAGAGGATGAGGATGACGATGAGGATGATCCTGATGGTGGCGATGATGATGAGGATGATGACGATGTCGATGGTTGTGATGATGTGAGTTACACCAACAACGTCGACGACGGAGACGATCACGACGACGTGGATTATGATGATGCTGATGCCTGTGCGATCGATGTTACTGCTGCTGCTGATGTTGATGATGATGTTGCTGATCGCCTGTGCTGATGCTGTTGTCGTTGATGATGGTGCTGATCGCCTGTTACTGCTGTTGCTGATGCTGATGCCTGTGCGATCGTTGATGATGATGCTGATGTTGTTGTTGATGAATTTGTGTTTGATCATGATTACGATGATGATGATGATGATGATGCTGATGATGATTATGATGATGATGATGGTAGTGGTGGTGGTGGTGGTGGTGATGATGATGATGATGATGATGATGATGATGATGGTGAAACTCGCGTGGGCCGTCTTCGGCCTGTCTTTGCTTCCAGTGAGGCAGCCTTGGGGCTACCTTGGGGCCCACTTGGACCGTCTTGCGGCCCTCTCACGCTGACTTAGGGGCTCTCTTGGGCCGTCATGGTTGCGTCTTGGGCCGTCGAAGGGTCTTCTAAGGCCGTCTTGGGTCCCGCGGAATGCCCTCTTGTGCCGTCTTGGGGGCATTTGCTCGATTCGCCCGAGTCTCGCTTCGCCCAGCTCGATTCGCCCCGCTCAATTCGCCCGGGCTAGATTCCCCCCCGGGTTCGAATCGACGGGCTCGATTCGCCCAGCTGGATTCGCTCAGGCTCAGCTCGCCCGCGCCTCGATTCGCCAGGTTCCGCCCACCCGACCCGACCTGACCGGTTAGGGCTCGCGCTTGCTACATCGATGATGCATCAGATTTGAATGTCCTCCCTGCCCGACCGGCTCTCCCTTTGGTGTCCGTCGGCCCGACCGGACGCGCCCGTTAGGGCCCGCCTGCCTGACCCGACCCGTCTGTTCGGGTCCGCCCGCCCGACCCGACCCGCCCGTTCGTGGGCCACGCGCAGAGGGGGGGTAGGGGGAGGGGGGAAGGCTTCTTAGAAGCACCCCTGCTTCTTGGAAGGCGCGGGCCTTCTCTACAGACGCAAGGCCGAGGCCTTCTAAGAAGCAGGGGTGTCTCTAAGAAGCCTTCCCCCCTCCCCCTACCCCCCTTTGCGCGCCGCCAAGTTCCGGTCCGCCCTCCTGCTCCCCCTCCTCCTCTGGATCCTCCATGCGCCCAGCGAAGCGAGCCCTGGCGAGGCGAGCCCCGGCGAAACGAGCCCCAGCGAAACGGGCCCCAGCGAAAGGAGCCCCCCGCGAGACGAGCCCCAGCGAGCCGAGCCGGCTGAACCGAGCCCCAGCGAGCCGCGTCCCGGCGAGCCGAGCTGGGCGAGTCGAGCCGGGCGAAGTACGCCTCGGCGAAGCGAGCCCCGGCGGACCCTGCCCCGGCGAACCAGGCCCCGGTGAAACGAGACTCCGGCGAACCGAGACTCCAGCGAACCGAGTCCATGCAGTCTCGGATGCCTTTGGCTCTTGGGCAATCGTGGGGTCCTCTTGAGCCGTCTTGAGCTGACGGCAGCCCGAAACGTCGAGAATGCGAAACGCGAAACTCAATGAAAGACCCAATGGGCATCACACGATTCTGGCTCCTTCTGGCCCTGTTGGCGGTCCTCTTGTACCCGTTTTGGGCCTTTCTGGAAGCGTCTTCGGCCGTCTTCAATCAATCTTCGACCGCCTTGGGGCCATCTCGGGCCGTCTTCGGGTCATCTTGGGCCACGTTGGTGTTCTTGGTTGCTTGCACGGGCTGTCCTGTAAACTCGGGACTCGTACCCGTTGTTTTAGGAAGGAGCGTGGCTTGGGGGGCCCTGGAGCACTACTTGGGAGCAGCGCTCGGGGATGCAGGGAGTGCACGATTCTCGAGCGGGCGCGAGTAGGACGAGGGGTCTAGGATTAAGTCGGGCCTGTCCCTCTTCAGGATGGATATTCAAAAATTGTCAAAACATAGTCTGGGGACGATTTGTTGAGCATTGTTTGACCATTTGGGGGTATTTTTGACTATTTCTTAATTGTTCCTCCAGAAGCCCCTGTAGGGGGACATGCCCGACTTAAGTCTAGGAGCTAGCAGCCATGCGGGAATTCGGTATTGCACAATCCTCAAGTGGGCGCGCATGGCAATGGGTTCAGGCAGCAGTTGCCGTGCGGGAAGAGTGCACCATCCTCGAGCGGGCACACGTGCAGTGGGAGTTCAGTCATTCGTGGCCATGCGGGACGTGCGCCATCCTCGAGCGGGCACGCATGGCCTGGGGGTTGAGGCATCAGCTGCCATGCTGGAAGTGCGCCATCCTCGAGCGGACACGGGGGAAGTGGTCTCGGGAAGGAGGGGCGATGCACGCAAGAGCTTGCTAATAGAGGGACGGGCGGTCCCGTATTAAAGCTCAAAGGCCCTAGCAGGCAGCTCTTGGCATTCGTCCGCTCCTCCACGTGCCAGGTGGCACGGTCGCAGCTGCCCAGCCTGCCGCGGCGAGTCACGCCTCCGTGCCAGTCCAGCATTTTGGGTGGCGACTGCCCGAGGAGCTCTCCGTGAACCACAACGTGTGGCACCTATTGTCCCGAGGCGTGGGGAAGCCATGACATTTGGCACGCTCCTCCGTGTCGTGTTTGGGTGTCTCTCTTCTTGTTCGTCGTCGTCTTCCTCCTTCCTTCCTCGTTATCCCTCCTCTCTTGGGGCCTCTCGGAGGCCTCCTGGGGAACTCCTCGTGGCCTCTTGGGGGTGTCTTGGGGGTACTTCAGGGTGCTCTTAGGTATAGTCTGGCGCCTTCTGAGTCTGTATTGGTGGCATCTCTGGGCCCTCCTGGGGCCTGGAAGGGTCGTCTTGGGGATCTCTTGGGCCGTCTTAGGGCCGCCCTGGGCCGTCCTGGAGCCGTCTTGGTGGCCTCTTGGACCCTCTCGGGGGGCCTCTTGGAGCAACCTGGAGGCCTCTTGGACCATCTCTTGGCCGTCCTGGAGCCGTCTTGGAGTCCTCTTGGACCATCTCGAGAGCAGCCTGGGCCGTCCGGGGGGGGAGCCTCGGGGGGGCTCGGACGCCTCGGGGAGCGCCCGGGCGGCGTCGGGGTGCCCGGGGAGCCCCGGGGAGGGGGTGGCGGTGGGCACCCCTGAGCGTACCTCCTCCTCCTCCTCCTCCTCCTCCTCCTCCTCCTCCTCTTCCTCCTCCTCCTCCTCCTCCTCCTCCTCCTCCTCCTCCTCCGGGGGTGAGGGCCCGGAGAAGTCTTCCAGAGTCCCTGCCAGACAGCATTCGGGATTCTGCCGCGCTCCAGGGTGCCGAGGGGGCACGGTGGCGGAGGAGGCGTGCCGAGGCCCTGTTTTTTCTGGCTCCGACGCGCCGTGCGCAGCGGTCCCGGCCAGACGGCGTGATCTCCACGGGCGAGTGCATGGATCCCCTGCCCAGATGGTCTGGTACCGGAAATTTTCGGTAGCGATTTCGACGCACCCCGAATTTCGGTAGCGACCGGATCTTCGTTTGAGGGCGTTGAAATAGCGGATTTCAGAACGCTCTGATACTGGTATTGGGCGCTACATTTCGGTATTTCGGTAGCGACCGATCTCTGCGGAGCGCTACCGGAAATTTTCGGTAGCGGACCATCAGGGTGCCTGTCTCGTTCGACGCTCGATGCGCCCGGCGCGGGAGAGTCGGTGGGCTTCGGCGTGCAGTTCGGCAGCCCAGCCCGCCGATGCCTCAGCGCAGGATCCAGGAACATCGTGAACAGACTGCCTCTGGAGTCGATAGGGAGTCGCAGAGTTGCCTGGAGCATGCGTCGGTGAGACAGCGCTTGGCTCGACCTGCTGAGCTGTAATTCGTGGGAGATGGAGCTCCGCATCGTCGCTGGTTTTCCGTGGTCGGATCTGGTATGAGCGGTCCTGTCCTGGCTCGACCCGGAATGATGCCACTCAATCCAGCTCAATCCAGGGATTAGTTTAGTGCAGTCCGGCTTAATTGCTCCTTGGTCTGGCTGAATCGTTCCAAATCGCTCCAACAGGAGTTCAGATGATCTTCCTGCCAGTGCATGCTCGTTGTTAAGTTTAAGTCGGGCCTGTCCCCCTACAGGGGAATGTTTGACGAAAAATACAAGATACCCCAAACATAGTCAAAAAATAGTCCAAAGTTAGTCTGGGGACTATGTTTGGAGTATTTGTTTTGCCTCTTGGGGATATTTTTGGGGTATTTTTATTTTTTCGTCGAAAATCCCCCTGTAGGGGGACACGCCCGACATAAGGTTAAGTTGCTCTTTAGAGCGTCAAACATTCCCAGCTCATGTTCCCGGCGCTGCGCAGCTTCTTCTTCGAGTGGTTCCTGCCGCGGCTCGCGCGGCACGAGCGACGTGAGCGGCGCGAGCGCGGGGCCTTCCCCGGCAGAACGCGCAAGCGGCCGAAGTCTCGGGGCACAAAGATCGGGGGCGGAAAAGAGGGGGGGGGGATATCATGGCGGGGGCCATGATATTTCCCCAGATTTCATGGCGCCTCTTCTTGTTCCATTACGTCCCTGGCCCCCCCCCCTGGGCCGCGCATATGCCGCCGGTCATGATGTGCACCCCCCCTCTTGGACCCCCCCCCCTCCTTGGCCGCTCCCGAAAAGAGCGCCGCCGGTGCTGACAACACAGTGGAGACCGATGCCAAGAAGCACCCTGCTTGCCTCCAGGGTGCCCTGGGTCTATTGTACCAGATTTGCATCGTTAGTGCTCGGAGTACGTCGAGGACGCAGGCCCCCGCCGTCCGTTATCCGTCATCGATGGGGGAGTGCTCTGAGCGAGAATGACAGAACATCTCCCTCCCCGTGTCACGCTGGACTCAGGAGCAGCGAGGGGGCTCGGACGGAAATCCGTTCAGGAGCGTTCTGGAACGTTCCGGAACCCTCAGGAGCGCTCTGGGGAGGCCGCGGCGCCCGACACAGCCTCCAGAACCGGGGGGGCTCAGAGATGCTCGGATTCGCAGGGGGGGGAACGGGTCTCGAGGGGAGCGGGTTCTGGGCCCGAGGCTTTCCCCCGGGGCCGAAGCCTCCTCCTGAGTCCTTTTTCCTGGCAGTCCCGGGGGCCCGCCGGGGCTCGTGGGGGGCCCCAGCGGCGCGATCACACGGCGAACGACCTTGGGACCCGCTTCCCTCAGGACCCGTTTCCCGAAGGGCGATCGGTTTGTCTTCGCCCGATGATATCTTCGTCTTGGCTTCGTCTTAGGGGGGGGGATTGGCTCAGCCTTGGGGGACGACGACGGCGACGACCACGACGACCACGACGACGACGACGACGACGATCGAGGACGACGACGATCGAGGACGACGACGACGATCGAGGACGACAACGACGACGACGACGTCGCCGCTGTCGTCGAACAGTGCAGTTTTTTCAACATGCTTCGCGTGCGGATCGTGCATTAAAAGTAATTACCCCAGTGCGACCCGACCTAGAAGTTGGAGCCCCTAGGAAAGCAGCATTAGTTGCTATGCTATGCTATGCCATGCGATGCTGCGCTATGCTATGATATGATATGAAATGATATGATATGCTGCGCTATTCTATGCTACGCTATGCTATGCTGTGCTCTGCAATTGTAAAGATCAGCGAAGCTAAGGTGAAGGTAAGCTAAGCTAAGATAGACCTGAGCCAAGCTGAAGCTAAGCTAATCTAAGATGACATAAGCTAAGCTAAGATGAGATAGGCGACGCTAAGCTAAGGGGGCGTAGCTGGGGGAACCGCCCGGGGCGGTGTGCATGCACTGCCCGGCCCCTTGGAGAAAGAGAGTAAGAACAGTCTAGGCAGAGCCTAGGTAGGGAATGAACCAGAGCTAAGATGAAGCTAAGCTAAGGTAAAATGAAATAAGCTAAGCTAAGATGATATAAGCAACGCGAACCTAAGGGAACGTCACTGGGGGAACCGCGGGGCGGATGCGGGGGGAACCGCCCGGGGCGGGTTCCACTGCCCGGCCCTTTAAGCCTAATAGTAAGAACCCTTCTAGGCAGAGCCTAGGTAGGGAATCAAGGGATATATAGTATTAGAAACAATAAAGAATTTATGCGTTGTTTTTTAGTAAATTAATCATGTATTAAAAATCCAATGTACTAAAATTCCTATGTGATAAAACCTTCCCTGTAGGCTCGGGCGGGGGGAGGAGCACAGGCCCCCGAGCGTTGGGCGGGGCCCGGGCCCCCGCCCTGCCCGGGCACGCGCGGCCGTCGTCACCGGGCAGCGGTCGTCGCTCTGTATCGCTGGGGTTCTAATGCGGGGGTCCGCCAGAGCTCGGAGGAGGGAAAGGTGCCCCAGCCGCTAGCCTTCCCTCGTTCTCCTCTTTTGGGGGGGCCCCTGGGAGGCCCTCGTCGCCACCGCTGGATTCGCCCCGAAGTCCTGGTCAGAGCGCACCCTGGGAGAGGTCTGGGGAGTAGCGAGTGGCGATGTGGGAACCTTTGCTCTCCCCAGAGACGGGGGTCAATGCAAACGGGGGTCAGCCAGAGCGCCAAAACTTGCAGGATCCTGCAGAGCCAGGGGTGCACTGAACCAGGTTATCCTGCAGGATCCTTCAGCGCCTGATTGACCTGGGTTTGCACTGACCTGGTCCAGTGCGTCCCCGATGCCCGCAATGCATCGACGATTCCAGGTCAATGCGTCCCCCCATGAGCCACCCACCCCCCGTTTCGTTCGCCCGGGGGGCGGGGTCTCCCTGGGAACAAGGTTTCTCGAACCAGTTGTCTGTGATCGAAAATGACCCTAGGCCGGCTGCGGAGAGGGGGGACCATCTTTCAAGGGGGCGCGCGTGGAGGGGATGGGGACGGCCTTAGAAAGCGCTCGGGGGTGGACAGAACCCCCAACAGTGACACGTCGATTAGTGAATTGTCCGTTTTCGGTTCTCGAGAGGGCGCCGTGGCCGTTATTTTCCAGGCTTGTGCCCGCCAGGTTTGGGCCTCAGGTCGTTTTCACTAAACCACTTTTACTAAAGGGGGGTCTGTCCATCCCCGAAGCACTGAAGAATGACGGACAGAGCGCTGGCGAGAGAAGTTCTGTACAGAGTTTTAGCCCCAATGGGGGGGTCCGGGGGAGCCGTGCCGGACGGAAATTTCGAGCGCGCCCTCCGGGGGGTCATGTTGGCGGCGTTTTTCTCCCAGGAGGCCTCAAGACGGCCCAGGTGGCTTCCAAGACGGCCAAATCTGCCATCAAGACGGCGTCAGAGAGACACACGAGGACCCAAAGACGGTGTAAAACCGCTTCAAGAGAGGTCCTGATGGCCTCGTCACGACCCAAAAAGGCCCCCAAGAGGCCCAAGACGACTCTTTTCCGTAGCCAGTTTGGATCAAGCGTTTCTCTTTCAGGCAAGTGTGTGTGTGTGTAAATCTGCTGCAGAAGCAGCACATCCCAGGCCTTTCTAACGTCATGGCGCGCCTATATGTGAATGCAGTCTCGTGGCTGTTGGTTAGCTGGATGTTGGCGCCCGTGTTCTGCACAAGAGACCTCGTGCATGTTGATTTAGCGTTGAACTCGACCGAAGATGTTGCAGGCATGGCGGGGATCAAGTGTTGTCAGATCAAGTACGGCATTCTCGAGCCAAACTTTTACAGTGTGAACGATGGTCTTCTCAGCATCCGTCTGAAGATGAGCACTCTCGGCACCTCTGACGCAGATGTGAAAGATAAGATCTGCACGCAGCCTCAAGGAAAGCTCTCACTCGGTTATTGCAGCAACGCCAAGTACACTACCGGCGATGGCAACACGGTCTTCGAATTGCAGGATGTCAAGACTCTTAGCGACGATGTCTGCGAGGGCGACCCTGCCGTCAAAGAGTGTGACGACTTCGAGGAGTGGAAGATGGTGCTCATAGAGCACGGGCTTCAGACAGGTCGTTCCGATGCCGCGTTCCCCGATCTAGCCGCCAAGGACTGGGGCACGTCGAGGTACCAGTCAGGATCGGAGAGCCTCTGGGCCACTCGGGCGAGCTTCGTCGGGGCGGGCCTACATGCTCCCAGAGGAGCTAGCCATGGCAGCAGTGGCGCCCACGGAACGATGCGCAGCGGCATTCGCCGAGCCTTGGTTGGCCGTCGCGGGTGAGAGCTGATCGCGTTGACGGCAGTAGTCTCGTTGACAGTCTTCGTTGACAGTCCGCCCAATGTTCTTCGTGGCCGCAGCTTCAAACAAAAAAGAGAGGCCCAGGGAGACTCTCAGGAGGCCTGGAGGGGGCGAAACCAGTTCCCCGCTGAAAAGAGGGCCTCGCACGGCCTGCAAGACTGCCCAAGAAGGGCCCCACGGAGCCCCAAGAGGCTCCCAGGAGAGCCCCAGTCGGGCCACGGGGCGGCCCGCGGTGTCCCGTGGCGCGGTGTCCCGTGGTGTCTCGTGAGATCGATTGTCAGATGGATCGAGTGAGATCGACCGTGAGATCGATTGTGACATCGATGGTGAGATCGATAGCGGGATCGATCGTGCGATCAATCGTGGGATCGATTGTGAGATCGATGGTGAGTTCGATAATGGGATCGATGTGGGAACCTTTGCTCTCCCCAGAGACGGGGGTCAATGCAAACGGGGGTCAGCTGGAGCGCCAGAACTTTCAGGACCCTGCAGCGCCAGGGGTGCACTGAACCAGGTTATCCTGCAGGATCTTGCAGGATCCTTCAGCGCCTGATTGACCTGGGTTTGCACTGACCCGGTCCAGTGCGTCCCCGATGCCGGCAATGCATCGACGATTCCAGGTCAATGCGTCCCCCCCATGAGCCACCCACCCCCCGTTTCGTTCGCCCGGGGGGCGGGGTCTCCCTGGGAACAAGGTTTCTCGAACCAGTTGTCTGTGATCGACAATGACCCTAGGCCGGCTGCGGAGAGGGGGGACCATCTTTCAAGGGGGCGCGCGTGGAGGGGATGGGGACGGCCTTAGAAAGCGCTCGGGGGTGGACAGAACCCCCAACAGTGACACGTCGATTAGTGAATTGTCCGTTTTCGGTTCTCGAGAGGGCGCCGTGGCCGTTATTTTCCAGGCTTGTGCCCGCCAGGTTTGGGCCTCAGGTCGTTTTCACTAAACCACTTTTACTAAAGGGGGGTCTGTCCATCCCCGAAGCACTGAAGAATGACGGACAGAGCGCTGGCGAGAGAAGTTCTGTACAGAGTTTTAGCCCCAATGGGGGGGTCCGGGGGAGCCGTGCCGGACCGAAATTTCGAGCGCGCCCTCCGGGGGGTCATGTTGGCGGCGTTTTTCTCCCAGGAGGCCTCAAGACGGCCCAGGTGGCTTCCAAGACGGCCAAATCTGCCATCAAGACGGCGTCAGAGAGACACACGAGGACCCGAAGACGGTGTAAAACCGCTTCAAGAGAGGTCCTGATGGCCTCGTCACGACCCAAAAAGGCCCCCAAGAGGCCCAAGACGACTCTTTTCCGTAGCCAGTTTGGATCAAGCGTTTCTCTTTCAGGCAAGTGTGTGTGTGTGTAAATCTGC